CCTTGAACACTCTCACTGATGGGACTTCAACCACCTCCCATAGAAGCCCATTCCATATCCTTGGGGTCCTAACTGTCAAGAAGTACTTCCTGGCATCCAAATTGAACCTTGGCTCCCTAAGCTTTGCTCCACTGCAGCACCTCCTGCCCTCCTTCACAGAGGAAAACTGGTCTCTACCCAGGTCCGTGTAGCACCCCCTCACGTACCTATATGTCACCAACAGATCCCCTCGGAGTCTCCTCTTCTCCAGGCTGAAAAGACCCAGTTCCCTCAGTCTTGCCTCATATGGCTTTCCCTGCAATCCGGCCACCATCCTGGTGGCCCTACACTGCACCAATTCTAACCTGGCTATATCCTTCCTGCAATGTGGAGCCCAGAACTGAGCACAGTACTCCAGTTGCGGGCGCACCAGAGTCGTGTAGAGTGCTAGTAATACCTCTCTCGCTCTAGAAGCCACACTTCTGGCTATGCAACCAAGGGTGGCGTTCGCCCTCTTGACCACTTTGACTCAGTGCTGACTCGTGTTATCAGTGCACGGGCAAGTGCAGGCAGGCTCTCTGTGTCCAGATGGAGGCTCAGCTGGTAGCCGGCCGGCTGAGCATACTCTGCCAGGTTCCAGTGCACACAAGTTCAAATGTAGCTTGGCCTCTCCACATAGGGATGGGAAATGCCATGGGTCAAGATCCTGGAGAGCCATTGGCACCAGGCAGAGTTACAGATAAGCTTGATCAGGGAGCAGAACCTCTTTCAGCCCACAGGCTGAAATTCATTTCAGACAAAGCTTCAGTGTCTGCATTCCAGATAAGCCAAAGGCAAAAAGGAACAGGGCCAATTATACCAGTATTTTTTTAGCTTGGAAGTCTTAACTGCCAGTTATTAGGTCTTGGGAGAAGCCTTTCAGCCTTATGGTGGAGGTGGGATTGGAAAAGATGGGAAACTACTGAGTGGTCAGTGGTTGAGGGGGAAGGGAGTGACCATCTGGGAAATCAGGAAGACCAGACTGGAACATTTTATATTGTTAATTCGTTTTATATTTTTAGTGTATTATATTTTAATTGATGTTTTGTGAGCCGCCCCGAGGCTTCAGCGAATGGGGTGGCATAGAAATTTTCTAAATAAATAAACAAACACCAGAAGGCCAAATTTGGCTACTGTGTCTCAACTTTTATATTCCTAACAAGGTAGAACAAAGGTTGGACTTGGTTTGAGACAGCTTCTTATGTAAATAGTCACTTTTTTAAAACCACATCACCCTATGTGAGTTTACTCAGTGGAGCAATCTCACTGAGTTCCCAGAGTTTACTCAGTGTAACAATCTCCAAAGCAAGATTATAGGTGCTCAGGAAGGTGGAAAAGTATGAGCCCACCCCTTCTATGGGAGCTAGCTCCTTTTAAAATCAGTTTTTTGACAGAGCAATTCAAGGTTTGCTTTGTTTTGTCAGACAAGAACATATTCAGGCATGAATTCATACATAGCTGCCAAAACAATGGGTAGTCCTATCACAAAACACTCTTCGAACTGTCAAACTTCTGTGCCTCCAGTGAACAGGGTGGGTCACACTTTCCAACTTTTCTAAACGCCTACAATCTTGGGAAAAAGTGGAAGGAAACTGGGGAGTTGGGTCCAACATGCAACCCATTACTTGCAGCTTTCTTTTTTCTTGACATGGATTGTTGTGGTGAAGGGGCTTGCATTGCTCAATGAAGCTATGAGCTATGCCCTGCAGGGCCACCCAAGACGGACAGGTCATAGCAGAGAGCTCTGACAAAACAGGATCCACTGGAGAAGGAAATGGCAACCCTCTCCAGTATCTTTGCCATGAAAACCCCATGGACAGTACCAAAAGGCAAAGAGATATGACGCCGGAAGATGAGCCCCTCAGGTCGGAAGGTGTCCAATATGCTACTGGGGAAGAGCAGAGGGCTAGTACTGGTAGCGCCAGAAAGAATGAAGCGACTGGGTCAAAGCCGAAAGGACACTCAGTTGCTGATGTATCTGGTGGTGAAAGGAGAGTCCGATGCTGTAAAGATCTATACTCCATAGAAACCTGGAATGTAAGATCCATGAATCAAGGCAAGCTGGATGTGGTCAAACAAGAGATGACAAGACTGAACATCGACATCTCAGAAATCAGTGAACTAAAATGGACAGGAATGGGTGAATTTAATTCAGATGACCATCAGGTATACTACTGCGAGCAAGAATCCCTCAGAAGAAATGGAGTAGCCTTCATAGTCAATAAAAGAGTAGGAAAAGCAGTACTGGGATACAATCTCCAAAATGACAGAATGATCTCAGTTCGAATCCAAGGCAAACCATTCAACATCACAGTAGTCCAAGTCTACGCCCCAACCACTGGTGGTGAAGAGGCTGAAGTTGACTGGTTCAATGGAGGCCTATAACACCTTCTAGAATTAACACCAAAAAATGATGTCCTTATCATCATGGGGGATTGAAATGCTAAAGTAGGAAGCCAAAAGATAACCAGAATAACAGGCAAGTTTGACCCTGGAGTACAAAATGGAGCAGGGCACAGGCTGGTAGAATTTTGTCAAGAGAATACGATGGTCATAGCAAACACTCTTGTCCAACAACCCAAGAGATGACACTACACATGGACGTCACCAGACGGTCAACACAGAAATCAGATTGACTATGTGCTCTGCAGCCAAAGATGGAGAAGCTCTATACAGTCAGTAAAAACTAGACCAGGAGCTGACTGTGGCTCAGATCATGAGCTTCTGCTTGCAAAATTTAGGCTTAGATTGAAGAAAGTAGGGAAAAGCACTAGGCCACTCAGGTATGACCTAAATCATATCCCTGATGAATATACAGTAGAGGTGACTAATAGATTTAAGGAATTAGATCTGATAGACAGAGTGCCTGAAGAACTGTGGATGGAGGTTTGCAACATTGTACAAGAGGTAGCCACTAAAACCATCCCAAAGAAAAAGAAATGCAAGAAAGCAAAATGGCTGTCTGAGGAAGCTTTACAAATAGCTGAGGAAAGAAGGAAAGAGAAAGGCAAGGGAGAAAGAGAAAGATACACCCTACTGAATGCAGAATTCCAGAGAATAGCTAGAAGAGATAAGAATGCCTTCTTAAATGAACAGTGCAAAGAAATAGAAGAAAACAATAGAATAGGGAGGACCAGAGATCTCTTCAAGAAAATTAGAGATATGAAGGGAACATTTCATGCAAAGATGGGCTTGATAAAGGACCAAAATGGCAGGGACCTAACAGAGGCAGAAGAGATTAAGAAGAGGTGGCAAGATTACACAGAAGAACTATACAAGAAAGAGCTTAATGTCCCTGATAACCACAATGGGGTGGTCACTGACCTCAAGCCAGACTTCCTGGAATGTGAAGTCAAATGGGCCTTAAGAAGTCTGAGCAACAACAAAGCTAGTGGAGGCATCAGTATTCCAGCTGAGCTTTTCAAAATCCTAAAAGAGGATGCAGTAAAAGTGCTACACTCAATATGCCAGCAAACTTGGAAAACTCAACAGTGGTCACAGGATTGGAAAAGGTCAGTTTACATTCCGATCCCATAGAAGGGCAATGCCAAAGAATGTTCAAACTACCGCACCATTGCACTCATTTCACATGCTAGCAAAGTGATGCTCAAAATCCTACAAGCTAGGCTCCAGCAGTATGTGGACCGAGAACTACCAGAAGTACAGGCAGGATTTCAAAGAGGCAGAGGAACTAGAGAGCAAATTGCCAACATACACTGGATCATGGAGAAAGCTAGGGAGTTCCAGAAAAACATCTACTTCTGCTTCATTGACTATGCTAAAGCCTTTGATTGTGTGGATCACAACAAATTGTGGCAATTTCTTAAAGAGATGGGAGTACCAGAACATCTTATTTGTCTCTTGAGAAACCTATATACTGGTCATGAAGCAACAGTGAGAACTGGACACAAAACCACTGATTGGTTCAAAATTGAGAAAGGAGTTTGGCAAGGCTGTATACTGTCGCCCTGCCTATTTAACTTATATGCAGAGACATCATGAGAAAGGCGGGGCTAGATGAATCACCAGTTGGAATTAAGATTGCTGGGAGAAATATCAACAACCTCAGGTATGCAGATACCACCACTCTAATGGCAGAAAGTGAAGAGGAACTAAAGAGCCTGTTGATGCGGGTGAAGGAGGAGAGTGCAAAAGTTGGCTTGAAACTCAACATTAAGAAAACTAAGATCATGGCATCTGGTCCTCTCACTTCCAGGCAAATAGATGGGGAAGAAATGGAGGTAGTGACAGATTTTATTTTCCTGGGCTCCAAGATCACTGCAGACGGGGACTGCAGCCAAGAAATTAAAAGATGCTTGCTCCTGGGGAGGAAAGCTATGGCAAATCTGGACAGCATACTAAAAAGCAGAGACATCACCCTGCTGACAAAAGTGCACATAGTCAAGGCTACGGTTTTCCCAGTTGCAATGTATGGCTGTGAAAGTTGGACCATAAGGAAGGCTGAGCACCGAAGAATTGAGGTCTTTGTATTGTGGTGCTGGCGAAGACTCCTGCAAGTCCCTTGGACAGCAAGGCGATCAAACCAGTCAGTCCTAGAGGAGATCAACCCTGACTGCTCTTTAGAAGGCCAGATCCTGAAGATGAACCTCAAATACTTTGGCCACCTAATGAGAAGGAAGGACTCCCTGGAGAAGAGCCGAATGCTGGGAACAATAGATGGCAAAAGAAGGAGGGGACGGCAGAGGATGAGGTGGCTGGATGGAGTCACTGAAGATGAAGTCACTGAAGCAGTCGGCGTGAGCTTAAGTGGACTCCAGGGGATGGTGGAGGACAGGAAGGCCTGGAGGAATGTTGTCCATGGGGTTGCGATGGTTCAGGCATGACTTCACGACTAACAACAACAACAAGAGAGAGAAAGAGATTTTTCATTTGGTTGTTATTTATTTTGAGCACCCACAACTGCATTCTGCATCAGAATCTGTCAGGAAATCTTGATTCACGAGTTGTACCTCCTCTATGAGTTATTGATTCTCCACTTTGTATTCCAACACCGTCCAGAAGGTTGACTCACTGACACATTTTAATACTCTGACTGATACTATTGCAGCACCTGAGGTGTGACAGGTTCCTTCCCAGAAACCGTCTCTACTGAGTGTCAGTGGTTGAATCTTGCCACACTTAACAGACACCCCGGCGACGTTCGGTATCTTGAGTTTAAATTGTACATCACGGTTGGCAGGCAACACCCCAGAAAGGGGAGCCACAAGTTCACAGCCTTCCTGCCAGTCACTATACCACTTGGGGAAAGGTGGCCACTCCACGCTCTTGTTTGGGCAGGAGAGGAGGTAGCTGAGGACACAGTGATTGCTACCTGGGTCAGCGTCATTCTTTGCCCAGATGTGAAGCGCAAAGTGCCCTGCATGGGGAAGGTGAATCTTCAGCTCCACTTGGCTTCCTTGGCAGGTTTTCCAGATGTGGCGCCTCCTCATCTCCTCCGCCACAGTGCTGGAGTCGGAATCCAGGGTGGCAAAGACACCCAGATCTTTACTCTGAGTGAAAGTAACAATGCAGCGGCCATCTTCCATGTGGATAATTGGGCTAAGGGGCAAGGCCTCCAGGACCCCCTTCTCCTCAGAAAGCCAGCTGGGTCCCACAGGCTGGATGAGCATTTTGGGCAAGTGGATGCGTTTGTCCACAGAACTACACTTCAGGGAATATTCTAACACATGTTTGTAGTCTTTCTCTGTCTTCTTGGGTAATCTGGTAAAGATATCCAAACGATGAGTTCCTGTCTGGGGAGGGTATACTTCCAGCTTCATCCCATTCTTCTTCAGGATCATTAAACAATGCTTCTGTTCCCGATTAAGCTCAGACAGGAAGAGCATTGGTGAACGGCTCTCAATGAAAATAATTGCTTTGCCATTTTCTGCAAAACAATAATACAGATTCTTGCATAGTTTCTAGCAGTAAAAAATCAAAAATCAAAATGGTTTTCCACAAATACGCTTTTTTCATGCATTCCTTGTCCCCTTGCCATTAGGAGTACCACCTGATGGGCAGGTTTGTTAAGCAAGGCTGGGGACGGGTCTGCAGCCCCTCAATTATCTGCATCCAGTGTTGCTGAGGAAGATGCACTGGAATCTAACCTATGACCGCTCCATATGTCCCAGAGCCCCTGTGAGCAGCCCCTTCCACCACTGTTTCTCTGCCTGGTTTAATCAAGTTCAACAGTCCTGTTGTATTGCCAAAAATATCCATCTGTTCTTTTATGCCACGCACAGAGGACGGCATAGCAAAGTTTTAAATAAATAAATAACTAAATATAACATTTCGTGTTTGGTTGAACAAGAGCATGTTGTGTTAGGTACTCCTGTAGAGGTTTATTCCAGAGCAGATTCCTTGTCTCTGCACTGTTCAACCCTCCTCATATATACTAAAATACATTCCATTCTTATTGTCAATTGTTAAACTTGCCTGTACATGTACAACGGTACCTTGGCTCACAAACACCTTGGTTCACGAACAAATCGGGTCACAAACAAAAATTTCATTAAAATTTTGACCTGGGTCGCAGACTCCGCATTGGGTGGCGACCAAGAACGCAGCCACCCGCCCCCGCCAAGTGGAGAGATGGCCAAGATTGCAGTTGCTTTCGTGCAGGGAAGGCGTGCGTGATCAGAGGCGCGCTCCCTCAGGAAAGACGGGCGCAATGTCGGCCGTTCCCCGCCCACCCACCCAGCATGATCGCGGCCATCTCTCCCTCCCCCAGTGGGCCCCATCTGCGCCTGTCCCTCCCTTTCCCAGCACGGCCCGTTGGTGCCCATCTCTTCCTCCCCCAGTGCACCTACAATCGCGCCTGTCTCTTCCCTGCACCCCCCAGCGCACCGGGATGATGGGCTCCTGCAGGGATGACAGGCGCGATCTTGGTCGTACTGGGGGAGAGGGGCAGGGAGATGATCGTGCTTGTTCTCAGGGTGGCGGGGGGGAGATGGGTGCAATCTTTGCTGTTGTCACTTTGCTTCACATTTTTCTGATTTAAAAAATGGTTACAGAACGAATTAACCTTATTTACAATGAACCTTATGGGGAAATTTAACTTGGCTCAGGAACAATTTGGGTCACGACCAGAGTCCTGGAACGGATTACATTCGTGAGCCAAGGTACCACTGTATATGTGTGCGTGTGCACATGCATGGCATCAGTTTATGTTTATATGTGGATGTTTTTATATTAAACCTCCCAGAGAGCTTTAGACTATTGGGCAGTATAGAAATGGAATGACCAAATGAATTCTCACTTGATTTGAAAAACATAGGAGCTATTCTCAGTACAACTGTGATAATTAAAAAAAAAAAAATGGGCAGCTGCTTTTTATTGACTTTACCTGTTTCAATGACTGCTGTTTCTGCAGATACTGCAAGCAGTCCCAACGTGTAAAAGTCAGATGAATAATTAATATTCCGTTCATACTGCTGTAGTGTCATTGTTGGTTTCAGGAGCTGCCATTTGTTGTCTTCTGGGAAGTGAGCATTAATAAACAGAGCGGGATGGGTAAGGAAATAGAACTCATTGTATCTGCAAAAGGAGGAAACAAAATATTGCCATGTGGAATGATATCTCTTAAATAAGCCCCAAAGCCAAAAAGGCAAAGCTTGCTGAGGCTGTGTGAGAAATATTCTAAAGCAGCGGTGCGTGAACTTTAGGCCTACAGAATCTATTGCCTTCTTTACCAGATCCCTTAAGGCTCACCAGTCAAAGCCAGGTGCAAAACAGTGGCTTCAAAAAGCAGCCACAGTACTGCAGAAAAGGCTGCCTCTGCCAAGATACTCAGTCCAAGAATTTATTGCACAGGAAATTTTTCATGTAAAAAATCTACTATTTCCTGCAAAAAATATTTTAACTTCAGCAGCCTAGTTTAAGAAGGGGAAAGACTGTTGATGCTATTGTCAAACCCTTACTGATCTTTCCCTAGACCAGTATCCATCCCTAGCCAGCCCACCCCCAGCTTAATCTAAGGCACAATCCACTGGGACACCTCCAATGCAAGCCCCATTGAAATGAACGGATGCCGCTCGAGATCATGGCAGAGCTCACTCTTATTCATTCCAGTTGGGGCCCAGCCTGTGTGCAACAGGCTTCCGATCTATTATCTGGGCGCAAGGCAAAGTTAGAGGCCCCTGTCGCTTGTAGAATAAAACTGGCGACATTCAAGCGTGCGCTCTTCCCCTGAATGTATCCTGCGGAGAATGCAGTCTCCCAAATAAAGAAAACCTCTAAAGCCGCAGCCCAAGATAGATGCACTCTTTGCGTGTGCGTGCATGTGTGTGTGTGCGTATGTGTGTGCGTGGTTATGTCAGGCATAAGAGGGTCCTTTGCAATGGCCCGAAATGCATGATGCCTAGTCCTTACGCCTGTAACATGGTGCCAACTGCATAAGCTCAACAACACCCCATTAATGAATGCTGATGGGGGAAAGCTTGTTCTTCCACCTCACTCCGTGCTGCATGGATGTCTGCTGTATCCGCTTATTACAATTCACTCTTATGCAGCCACTGAAACATTACAGACATTTCTAGATGAGGCTGTTAAACCACTGCAGCCGCTTTTGGTTTTGCCATGGAACTGAGCCCTGAACACTCTTTTCCTGTGTTTTGTTACACAACCTCTAGGTGGCACTGCAGTGTAGCAGAAGACTACAAACACACAAGAGGAAATGGCAGATTCCTTCACCATAAGAAATAATAATCCATTTCTCCTCTCTTAGAAAAAAATCTCACAGAAAGTGTTATTTACAAGCAGAAGCACAATTGGAGAGCCACAACATCATCTACAGAATCAGTAAACAATAATGAAAAGGGAATGATGAGCATATGACTAACGCCTTGCGTAAGAAAGCTCCCACTCCAGCTAGTGACTCCCTCAAAAAGCAAATGTACTGTGGAATTAAAATTCTGCCCTCTTTGTGACTCATACTGTGACTGGACTTACTGCTACATAAAAATGTACCTGAAAGTGAAGTTTCTGCAAGTGTTATCCACATAGCCGCTTCCCCATGTGCTGTCCAATAGGTGCCACCTTCCATCCAAGTAAACAGCATTCCAGGCATGATCCGTCTCTCCACCAATGACCATTCCTGGTTTGTAAGAATAGCCTTTGGAAAAGCCCGACAGCTGCTTGCATTGCACCCCAGCAATACTGTGGGGAAGAAAAATATTCGGCACCATCAGGGATCAATGGTTCTTTCACACTATTTAGGCTGGAACAGACATCTTTCATTTATACAGTTGTTATGCAGAATCCACAAAACCAAAGCAAAACACATCTCTTGCCTGTCAGTCACATTTCAAAGTGTTCCATATAGGCCTCACACCCCTTTTCAGGGTTAAATTTTGGTGATTTTTCATCTTAAAAAAGATTTGCTGCATAGCCTGCCAGGGTAGCTTTCAGGGCTGTTCTTTTTTCAGTTAAAACATTTATTTTCTTACAAAAAATGGCAAACTAGTTGTTTCCTGTTTCACTGTGGCCGCAGTATTCCTGAATGGCTTTATATAATCAGTTCCTGCAGGTGATGGGGAGCATTGATTACTAAATGTCAATCACAACAAGAAGAATCTTTGCATGCTTAAGCAGGAAAGTATCCCACTTTTGTAGGGGAGTTTCAGGATTTTTGTTTTGTTTTTTTGCCTAAACATTTACATCCTAATATTTTTAAAGTGCATTTATATGAGAGAAATCTTACAGTTCAGCACTAGAAAAATAAAAAATAATAAACTAATGACTTTTTGTGGGTACAAAGAGAAACTTTCAATTAACCCACCACCACAAGGATCAAAATTGTTTAATTATGGTGAAACAGGAATGTGACAAAAGCCATGGAATAGGGAGCAGTTAATTAATTAATGGGTTTAAAGACAAGGTGCAGGAAGGAAAATACTAATTAACATTTAGCCAAGCTAATTAAAATTACTTCAGACACAGCTCCAGGAAGAATTGGGACCTTAGGTGGGGAGGACTTGCTTCTTAGTCATCATACAGTGAGAATGGACACAGTTAAGTGGGGTGTTTATGAAAGTGCAATTATAACACATGTCATCTGCAATTCCTGCTTTAATTCTGCTTCCAGTGGATTGCAGAAAAGCGGTGCCTCAGCAGCTGCAGAATCAACCAGCCTTATGTATTTGTAAGCAGCTATGGCAACCTGTGTGCCACACAGCACTGCCAGGAGCAGCAAAATCAGGCAGTCCAAGAGTTTCAACTTACATTAAAACAAACACAGACAAAGGTGTTTCTAGCTCCTAACGGGTAGCATAAATAGTTTCAGGCAATCCTTGGTGCAGGAAGCATTGGGGAGCTGCACTAAGCAGGATTTCCATGGCTGGGGAGGGGAGCTCCACACTGCAGTGCTCTTTGCTCGTCTCCACGGGGGCCTCCAGGAGATGCTTCTCTATGCCATCGCCCTGCCTTGTTCACAGAATCTTATAGCCGACCCCGAAGTTGCCGTCTTCCACTCATAACCCTCCCGGACTTTCCCACCATTTCTTCCATCCTTTTTCTTACTGCGGAAGATCCATTAAGGAAAAGAAAGATCCCACAATGCCTTCCGAGGGGGTCTAGAAGAATGCCACGATGATGTCAGAACACACAAGACAATACATGCACAATTGCGTCACAGTTTAGACCAGCAGTGTCAAATCTCAAGCCCATGCGTTTCCCAGATGGTCATGCCCCCTTCCTCGAGCCCCATTAATTTTTCTCCTCCTGCTTATCATTTGAAGCTTTCCTCGCTTTTGGATTTTTTAATCACATGACAAGAGCTTTAGTCTAAAGCAGGGGTGTCCAGCCCGCAGCCTGTGGGCCACATGTGGCCCAGGATGGCTGTGAATGCGGCCCAACATAAATTTACTTAAAACACTGAGGTTTTTTGCACATTTTTTTGGTAGTTCAGTTGCGCAGTTCTCGAGCGTGAACTTCATAGATGACAACATTGTGCTGTAATGTCACATAAAATAAATGTACATATACTCCTGCTCTTTGTATGCATGTTGGTGGCAGATATCACAAAAATTATGCACAGACCTTTTTTTTTTCTTTTTCTTTTTTTGTTCACCGGCTTTTGTTAGTGTTTATGTATTTAATGTGCAGCCCAAAATAATTTTTCTTCTTCCAATGCGGCCCAGAGAAGCCAAAAGGTTGGACACCCCTGATCTAAAGTATGTGGTTAGTTTGGTATTCTGGTCCTACCCCTTTGCCTTGGGTCCCACCCACCACTGGAACGCAACCCAGCTGAGCATTCCCAAAGGCAGATCCACCTTCAGGCTGAGCAAGATTCAGCACCCCCAGGAGAAGATGCAATGCATGGGAAAGTCAGAGGCAGCAGAAGAGCTGTGAGATGGATTGAGCCCATAAAGGAAGCCCCAGCCTTGCTCTTGCGAGATCAGAGCAGGGCTGTCAAGGATAGGACACCTTGGAAGGCACTTGTTTATAGGATGGCCCTAAGTTGGACACTACTGGGAAGAACATGACACAGACTCAGCCAGTCGTATGTTACCTGCACATTTGTTGGAAGAGCTGAGCATATCCACTACAAACACTCTTTCCCAGTAGAAGGACATCTGCTGGTTCACAGCGCCTTTTGTCTTTATGATGGTAGGCCTCCGTATCATATTCTGGAAAAGTCATCATATTTTTGAAATGTCACACCAAAACATGGAGCATGGCTAGAGGAAGGTGTTGCGACAGTCACCGTTGGATTGCAAACTTTTACCAGTAAAACCCGGGTGATTAATCTCTTCATTAATTACAGTGGATGAGAAAAGAATATAGAAAGTTTTTCATTTTTCCTTTTGGTCTCTGTCCCCTGTGAAAGATTGTTTCAAGTTAATCATGTTTTACAGGAAAGCATCTTCCCACATTGTTCTGTTTGGTCTCTGTCCCCTGTGAAAGAGCAGTCCAAGTTAATTGCGTTTTGCAGGTTAGCCCCTTTCCACACTGTTTTGTTAAAACAGGCCTTTTGAAGGTGATTTTTACACAGTAAATGACATTATTCAGTGAGAGAAATAATTATTTTCCCTTAAAAGTCACCTGAACTGAAGATAACTCCCACGGTTAGTTTAGGCCACAGTTCTACTGTGGTGCCGCTTAAGCCCCCAGATGCAGAGCCGTACAGACACGCAGTGCAGCGCTGAAGGAGCCTCCCCGCCCTTCTGCTCTGCATTTTGAGTAGAAAGCAGAGCCGAGGTGGATGCCTGCAGGAAGCAGCTGCTGAGGAGACGGGCAGGCAGAGCTCTTGCACCCCTCTGCTTGAGGGATCCTGTGGGCAGTTGGTTTGCCATCACCTGTGCAGAGTGCTGCACCAGACGGGCCTTCGGTCTGATCCAGTGGGCCACTGCTGTAATGTGTTCAGGAGATCATCCCCAACACCCGCACTTGCCAGCCATATTCAGTGCAACAGAGCAGCGTGGCAGCATCGTCTTGGAGGCACACTGGGGGGGTGCTTCTGAGGAGCCTCCCCCCCCCTCACCCACCCACACACACACACACACACACTGCCAACTGTTGATGGAGCCTCCTGGGCCGTTGTCTCTCCCTGGGGGACTCCCTCCTTTCGGTCCTTAGTCTCAAAGTCTACAGTAGTGCAGTAGCCGGCACACCTGCAGTCTTCCAGATGTTGTTGGACTACAGCTCCCATCAGCCCAAGTTAGCAGGCCAATAGCTGGGACTGATGGGAACTGTGGTCCAACTCCTCACCTGGAGTTACAGAGAGTGAGAAGTAGCATCTTCTAACCCCAGCGACTATCATGGCTTAGCAAGGATTTGAACCCTGAATCTTCCCCAGCAAGAATCCCCAGTCCCCCGATCTGCTAGTGATCTACTGTGGGTGCAATGCAGGATCCAGCGTGCAAAAGAATCTCTCCTGTCTGGCTACAGAAAGTTTAAGAAGCCGACGGAAACATATTCTCACATAAGCCTGGATCTCTGCTAGGCTAGAGAACTCTGTCTGGACCCCCAGACAATTCTATCACCACGACAAGCCAACCCAAAACAAAAGAAAATCCCCATTGATTCAGAGACACCCAAAGAGGTACCCCCCCCACAGGTTGGGAGGTATTTTGAGACATGGGGCACCCTCTAGAGAAGCAAGGACACCCGCACATCACAGCATCCCCCTTCCTTCCCTGCTATCCTCCAACCCCTCCCATGCCCCCTCCAGTCCCTGTGATGATCCTGCACCACCTTCCCAGGTCCCACAGTACCTTTCATGACACCACAGGCGTGTGTAGGGGTGGTTTCCCAGCCCCCTTTTCCAAGCAGTCAAGAGCACTTCAGCATGATGTGTTTGCCTCCCGCTGTTTGCCAACTCTATTCCCAGAAACTCCTCTGGGTCACGCAGAGCTCCTTACCGATGTGATAACAAATCCATATCCAGATGGCTCGGACTTTCTCCAGATCACTGTGGGCTTTTTGGAGCAAGACACTCACCAAATCTTCTGCACTGTTCCTGACATTGACCTGTTTTATAAAAAGTAGATGGATTTGGGGGGTGTTAAAAGGGAAGAGGATCACAGAATACTTTCTATCTAGGACTCTCACTCGATTGAAGAAAAATAGCCTGCAATCCTAAGCAAACTCACTGGAGATGGAGTCCAGCTGCACCCAGTACAGCAAGTACAGCTCTGACTAAATATATTGTGTTTATTTATATAATTTTTATAATATAATATTTATATTGTGTTTATTTACTTATTATTGTGAGCCGCCCCAAGGCTTCGGAGAATGGGGTGGCATAGAAGCTTCCTAAATAAATAAAGTGCTTAGGATCACTATTTTCATTGACTGAGGCAGTAGCTCTTACCCACTTACTGGGTGTCAGACCGAAATGTGTTAGTCAATTGACTTTTCCAGATATTACTACATAATACCTGGATGTAGACCCCATTGAATTGAATGGGACTTATTTCTGAGTAGAGATGCATAGGATTGCATGGTAACTACCTCAGTTTTACTTGATCAAATTAAGTTCCTTATTCTATCTGCATAAACTTCTTCAGTATTAAAAAAAATGTGCTGAAACAAGGAGCCCACTACTTGATTTTTAGGCGATAACTATTCCATTTTCACCATTTAAATCACTTGTGCCCCATTCACTCATTGGCAAAAACCAAAAAAAGTGGTATGGTATAAGTAACATTAATTATTTTTCACCACAAAGTTGATACCAACTGGACCAGTGGGAGATTTGAATCCAGAACACTTCTGCATTTTAAAGAAAACTTTGCCTCCTACAGTTTGTGCCTATTGAATCGCACCTTAATCTGACTTGATTTTTCTCTTGAATGTCAGAAACAAAACAGCAGCTGATGCTGTCTCAGAGCAACAGACTATGCAAACAGGAGCTTAGAAGGTATTATCAACCAAACTGACCTTTAAAAAGCTCAGAAGTGGTGACCATGTCAATTCCATTGAGGACCACATGCTACAGTAAGATATGACTTACCTTTGAGGCGTAGGCATCCAGTTCCTTAAACTGGTTCAAGTCTATTTGCATTGATTTCAGATTGGATTTATCCCATGGATAAGCTAGAAACAAATGTGGAAGAGTCATTCTATAATCGGAGGAAATCTAGTGTCAGAGAAGAAAAGAAAAATGGCTTATGCTAGAACGAGATCTAAAATTAAGGACTGGAGGAGACCAAAAAGGATCTGTCAGCTCACCACATCCATCTCTACCTGCCAGAGAACACACCCCCTAAAGGACAGGGTCCACAGCTTGGGAGTGCTCCTCGACCCAGAGCTGTCCTTGGAAGCCCAAGTGACAGCGGTGGTGAGGAGCGCTTTCCTTCAGCTTCGGCTAATCCATCAGCTGCATCCCTACCTCGACAGTGATTGCCTAGCAACAGTGACACATGCATTGGTTGCTTCCCGATTCGACTTCTGTAATGCGCTTTACATGGGGCTGCCCTTGAAGACAGTTCGGATACTTCAGATGGTGCAAAACAGAGCTGCCAGGATGCTGTCGGGGACTGGGCATTATTCACATATAACCCCAGTCCTCTATCAGCTCCACTGGCTTCCCATCGAAGTCCAGGCTCAATTCAAGGTGCTGGTTATTACCTATAAAGCCCTAAACAGCTTGGGACCAGGATACCTTAAGGAATGCCATTTTCCCTATTTGCCCTCCTGCCCCCTGAGATCAGCAACAGAAGTCCTCCTCCGGGAACCATCTGTGAAAGAAGTTAGGAGACAGAGTACCTGGAGGAGGGCATTCTCTGCGGTGGTGCCCGACTGTGGAATGCGCTCCCCAGAGAGGTCCACCTGGAACCGTCATTATATGTTTTTCGGTGCCAGGTTAAGACCTTTTAATTTAATCAATATTTTAATATGTTTTAATATTGAATTTTAATATTGTATTTGCAGCCAGCGTGGGTCGTCAATTTATTTACGCTGTTAGCCATCCACAGACATTGGTAATTGGATGGCATACACATTTCATTCATAAATAAATAAATATCCATTCACTTCTCTGGCAGTTAAAATGGAAGCTTGTTCTGAAATCTATATTCAAAGAATATAGATTTTATATATAGATAAATAGATGCAGATCTATATTCAAAGCATAGCGGTTCCCATAACAGTTACTATAATAATCTTCTTCCAAGAATACCTCAATAGCAAAGGAATTAAACCTGCTTTACTAGGATATACTAAGATAATTACTAAGCTATATCAGGTTTAAAGTCAAACAAAACAAAGAAGGGTTGCTATTTACCATACAGATCTTGTCTCTTGGACAACGTTGATCCTTGCTCCAGATCACTTTGAAAGCCTACAGAATTGCCGTTGTTGGGGCAAGACCAGCAGAAAACAGAAAATGAGTTTATGGAATCAAAGAGGAAATCCTCCAATCCTCCGCCAATCCAACTGGCGATGCTGGTTGGGATAGAGCAGAGTTCTAGTCCAACGCAACTGGAGAGCACCCGGTTGAAGAAGGCTGCTGTGGACTATCCTGTCCGGCGCACAGGCTGGCCACGTCTAGTACAAAACTGATACTTTTTCAGTAGTCAGGTAGGACATCCATTCATTATTGATTCATTTTCAAATGCTGCGTAAACATAGGGCTCACAGCAGCCTGCAATGTGTATTCTTAAAAACAGCACAATAAAGCCAATTGCAAGAAAACACAAGCTAAAATAATAAAATGAGAGGCATGTTAAAGCTGGAGGATAAAAATGATTGTTAAGATGTTATCATTGCTTTGGAGCCATGGCAGTGGGGCGCCCCATCATTTTTAACCGTGGGCTTAATGACCAGGTGCATTACTTCAGCTATCAAGCACTCAGCTCGCATTTCCTGTCACCCATTTCAAGCTTTACAACTGCCTCAGCATCCTTGATATGTCACAACACGGTTTACCAGCTCTGCTTGGAAAGATTTAAAAAGATGGAGTATATGAATGTTTGTGTGTAAAGCTCATTTAGATCATTTGCAAATGCAACTTTATTCTTGTACCTGCTACTCTCTGGGGAGTCATTTGGGCCCTCCAGGTTACAAGACTCCTCTTTGGCCCAGGTTTCTGCCCTAACTTCTCAGGATGCAAATATACATGGACTGTTCCCAGCACAAAGCAATGTTTTCCAACCACATCACTGTCTGGACCAAAAGGGATCTTGGTTTGGAAGGTCATGGGTTCACCACGACCAATTTGGTGCACAGCATGCCTGGGACGTGCCCACATCTGGAAAGGTAACACTTTCATAAAAGATTGCACCGTTGTTTGCTAACAGGTAGTTCCTCTAGACTAGAGTTTCCCAGCCCCCTCAGAAAAACTTAGGATTCCCTTTTACCAAAAAATGACTAAAAGTGAAATCCTATGTATATTACATAGGAAAAAAAATCTGACCTTGTGTAGGATTATACCATAACTAACTTAAATTTATACCACAGAAACGTTGCACTGAGGAAAGGAGGGTTCCTAGACTGTGATATTTAAGCACTGGGTGAAGAGTATTTGCAGTTTGAGGTGCCACTTCCTCGTTTGTTTTAAATGAATCTCATGCATGGATGGGCCACTGAAAAACAGCTAGACGTGCTGACAAGCCTATTTTTCCTGCCCTGTAGATTGTTAAAGCTACAGACAAAAGCTGGAGACCAACAATAAGTTGTTTTTGTTGTTTGTAGCTATTTTAGGAGAGTTTGAAAGAGATCAGTGGTCCATCCATGTACCCTAGTTTCCAAGAGAGATTTTACTGTATCTTGTATTCTTTCACAAAATGCTTGACCTCAAGCAACGATGGAACAGGACAAAGGACATGAGGCCTCTCTCAGACTACTTATGCTTCAAAGGCTGTTGCTGGATCAGGCAATATGATGGAGGTTGAATCCACACCTCTCACCTGGAAACATCAGCTCCCTCAGATCCCAGCTCTGGGAGAACACCAACACTTCTTTTTTTAACCAGACATATCTTCTTTCTACCTTTCAGACACCAGATGGCAACATAAAACCTTATGTCTCAAACCTTAGAGCACACATGGACTATCTATTCCAAGAAGTGGCCAGAAAAGCTTTAGGGGAAACCTGCTGGGTTTTCCACCCAGAAAATCTGGAAGTATTGCTGTGCAAGAAGCATCTCTATGGTGGCTTCCTTCACTTGAGCAGACCCGTGCACTCTACACACCCTGTTCAGTTGCGTATATTTTCTTTTCTGATGCTTTCTTCAAGAACCATGTACTGCTGGGCTGCTGGCAGGCTGCTAGTCTTCTGTGCTGACTTTAGGCATGAAATTAAAATGGCGGAAGGAAAGATATTTGCCTAAGCAATATATCCAGCTTGGGCCTCAGGCACTGCACTGAACTGTCTTCTCAAGGGCACTCAGACCTGGAAAGATGTTCTGGACACACCTACAACAGCTGTCCCTTGCCAAGTCTACGCTGATTCAGCAGCCTCACCTTGGTTATCCCATCCTGTTGGTTTGGGAAACTCCTGGTCTCCTGCAACAACCATGGAAAAGAATGAAGCATTGGTTAAGAGTCACTGAATAATCCCTATGCACCGTGAAGGTTATACACACAAGTGGAAGGTTATCCTGTATGGCTCTCAGCCTACGTCCACAATCGTACGGGAGAAAACACAGCCTCATGAAGAACACCCAAAATACACGCGTGTTCAGTGCATGTTATAACTGTGTGATGACTCCACTTTCCTGCACAGGTGCTACACAGACTATGCAGGTGATGCACACGCGCATGCACACACACATGCAGACACATGGCACATACCTTTTCCAACGGGTAACTTTTTCCTTATGTGTGGGGTGGGTTTTCTTGGATGTATGTCTACATTGACATAAACTGGAGCATAAAAACAAAGCAAACAGAATTCAGAAACAAACCCAACCCGAACGATGCAAACTAACAGAAAACATTACTGGGTCGCAATGCTGCTGCCTCTTTGAAAATAAAAGAAAAATGCTTCCTGTGAGAGGACATAGGCTGCTGCCATGTATGGGTGGAATCCAATGGTGGCTGCCCATCCCACTGGCTCCGTTCCACTGGTGACACCCACCGCTTGCCCAACACAAGCGGAAGTGCTCCTTCCTGGAACAGAGCGGGTTGGTGGGCAGTCAGAAGGTAACAGAAGGGGCACTGGATACTGCCCTTTGAAAACAACTCAGTTATTACCTGTATTAGACCAAATGCAAGGGGGGGTGCATTTGGATTTTGAATACAGAAGCCATGGTGAGCACTACTTCAATGCACATCATGGGTGATATAAATGAGATTAATCCAGTGGAGGTTTTAATTCATGAAGATAATTACTTAATGTGCTGCATGGGGTGGAGCCACAACTACTCACCATCTCTCTCTCTCTCTCTCTCTCTCTCTCTCTCTCTCTCTCTCTCT